GCCGACCCTGCTTTTACGTGGCTGCCCTGTTTGTTTATGGAGCGCTGTGGTTTCACGACAGCATAACCGTAATTGACAGACGTTGATTTACTGATAATCCTTGGCTTTGGTCTCACTGGATGGACCTCATGAGGAGTGTGGGCTTGGCTGTCAGCCTCACACGTCCTTGAATCAGAGCTGCATGTTGCCCTTGACTCACACCTCTCTCTCTCTCTCTGCATCCCTCCTCTCACTCTGTGTCACTCCCTCTCTCTCTTTCTCTCTCTCTATTGCAATATTTTACCAACCTTTATATCCACATAACAGCCCGCTGCAGATGTGGTTTTATTTTGCTGACAGGGCATGGGTGTGATTACATATGGTGCAAAATGTGATTCCCCTCAGGGAGAGCCAGGTAATTAAATTTTTGGTGGCACATTTCAGTCACAGCTTGTTAAAACAACAATTAGTTGCAATTCAGTTTTGCAGTGTTATTGCATGTAGAGTCTAAATGCAGATCAATTATTGCCAATTTGACTAAATTTGAATGGGGATTTTCCTACATATAATTTAGTGTAATAATTTAGTGTGGAGGGGATGCATGCCAGCCTGTCATAGATGAGGGCGAAGGACAGACTGCCATTCAGCCTGATCCAAGACGTTAGAAATATCTGTGCCTTAAGAAAACTATAGTCATTGGCATACAAGAAAGCATACCAAAAAACCCTAAACATTTACACTTAATGGATAGTGAAAGGCAATCGGATGAACTGATGAAGGAAAGTTCTAGAAGGCCTAACATCTGCCGCTGTCTAACAAATAACCAGAAGAGAGGAAATGCTGTCAAGTCCAGCACTATTGTAACTTAGCTAACACACAGCCAGTGGTGTAGTGGAGGATATACTCAGGTATACGGGGTATACCCACTTCTTTTTCTATCCAGTGACAGTATACTCACCTATCAGCAAAATAGCCCACTTCCTCATCGGTAACCTACCTATCTACCTAGTAGTACACACCTCATCAACTACCACTACACCACTGCACACAGCTAAGACCTCACTGTAACATTTCCTGTTTCAGGGCTGGCAAACTAACTGCAACCTCCTCTCTCTACTGTGGTGAAATATGTGGGGTAATGGAGGCAAAGATTGGTGAACAGGTTCGTGGTATTGCCCCCTTTTGCAGTTACATCGGAGACAAAGTGACAACAGAAAGAAACAGAACTGACAATTACAAAATATTATTATATGTAGGCTATATTATCAAGAGGATATCAATTTTTTATTATTTATATATAACACTCTAAAAAGAATCCACCTGTTCAACTCAAAAAATTAAGGTAAGTATTTGCATGTATCTGTATAAGTAGCTCCAACTCTTGCCTTACTGAGTACATCCTTTTACAATCTGACAAACCCAATTAGTTTAGTACAACCAACATGATTTGTTTTGACCTCGAAAAGCTTAATTAAGTTGAACCATCTTAATATTTATCCAAAAGTCGTATTAGTGGTTTGATTATTTTATTAAAGATATTCTAAATATTTATTTTAATTCAGTCCTATTCAAAAATGTAAAAAAAAAATTAAATTTTTTCTTGAAATAAGTTGTCAACTGATTAAAACAATTTATTGCAATGCATTTTTTGTATGCTAAAAAAAAAAAAGTGTGATCCACAAACGCCATTGGTAATTTTTTAGAATGCACTGTTATCATCAATACGGGTATATTGCAACACCCCTACACTAAAATATGTACTAATTGTGGTTATTATCTTATGTAACATGTCCAGTGTCTCTCCTTGCTATGGATATTATTGAGCAGGCTTTTAGACATTTTCCCAGCACATCCTGTGTGCACAACTATCTCCGTCTGTATGCACATCTCCATCTCCAACCAACAGTGATCAAAACTAGAATACTTGTGAGAAGTGAGAAATGTCTTCTTGTTGAACACAAATCAAACTATGTCACTCTTGCTTCTCTTTTCTAATCCCATTATTTTTTTATTAAGACCTCCACTGCAGCAGCATAGACATAAAAGAAGAACGGCCACTGCTGTGCTGAATTCCTGTGGTGATGAGAGTCCAGCTGTGTAAAGCTCTACATCCTCCTCTCACAGTTTTTTCTCCCTTCCGCCTCAGCTCTCAGACAACCCTTTTACCTTTGTGTGTTTTAGCACTTTTCAAGCATTTCCGCATGGCTTGTCATGTGTGGACGGCGGCATGGGACAGTTGAGGAGGGTGGTGCTTTTACAGGGAGGAAGGATGGGGAGGATGCCGAGGTCAAATGTGCAAAAAGAGAAAAAAAAAGAGTGAAGTCTGGGTCAGAGGAAGAATCGAGTGTAAAAAAAAATAAAAGGTGGCGGACAGGAAAGGTGGAGAATGTGGACGTAGAGAAAGCTCCTGGGAGCTGCTTAGCTCTGGCAGGCTAATTGAAGCTCTGTGTGGCAGCGGACCCTGAGCTGTCACTCCAATGAAGAGCCCATTTGCTGCATTTTGCAGGCTGTGTGCTGAATTCTGATGATGTTTCAGAAAGCTCCCAGACCACAGATCGACACTGTTTCACTGAGACCCCCTCCCATCCCCTGCACGGGGACGCATCCCCCTCCCAGGCTCTCCACAGATTACATGTAACAGAGTCAGAGGCATTCTGAACACGAGCAGCCACTGCGAAGCACAACATGCGAATAGGAATTATTTTGTTCTGAGGATTTTGTAAATTTGTCGAGGAATCTCATACATGATAATGTGATATTAGACTCCGCGGGAAGTGTTTTCACTTGTACAGGATTTCCCTCGTTGGATTAGAAAAGATTATGTCTTCTAGCAGAGCACATAGCTGCGAGCATCCAGTGAATTATTTATCATGAATTAAAGCAGTCAGTTATGAAAATATTTATCTAAAAACTGAACAGAGTGGGATTTTTATATGCGAAGCTGTAACCGAGATACTCAGGCACACGGCTGTTAGTATATAAGTATACTGAATTGTATTACCTGCCAGTTTTGGGTTGTGCTACGACACATTGTCACTGTGCTGCTTTTGATTTGCTGATGATGCTTATCAACTATATATATGCAGAGATTGTAAAGTAAGTGCCAGGCACAGTCTTTTATATCATTAAAGACTCTTCCTTCCTGCCCCCACTTTGATCATTTAGACTCAATCAGATCTTCAGTGATTGTCTATCCCACCTAATGAGCTACCCATGCAGGAGAGTTATTGATCCGTGCTATTGAAGGTTCCACATACATTTGCATTTAAGCATGTGCACATACACTTATCCACCTTCCAATTTTTCCGTAAAGGTAAAAATTTGGAGATACGTGTTCTTTTTGACAAAAATCCATCGTAATTTCCTTGTGTATCTTCAATTGTTTTATAAATCTATCTCCTTTAAAATGAAATATTCCTTTTGCACAGAACTCGTGGTTTGACATCAGACTCTCACTGAGTTGAGTAAAGGTGGGAATAAATGCTCAGAGGGAGCCACAGGTGCTGCACAGCGAGTCACTGAGAAATCATTAGTCTCTCCTCATCTATCTGCTTATCTGGGCTAAGACCGAATTCATTTGGGGGCTGGTATTTACTGAGCAGGAACCTCCCTGTGAATCCATTGATTGTTACACGCTGCCTCCAGACATGAAGATAAAGTTTGATTTTGTTTTCATAACGCTCAGTACAAAAGTGCAGTGGTGGCAGACATACTCATATCTTTTACTTAAAGGAATACTTCACCCACAATATCACCATTTGTAAATTAATTAGTTGTGCTTACAACGAATTCATGAAAAAAAAAAAAAAAATTCTTGCATGCCTCCAGGGAAAACAGCGAACATATGGATTGATTGGTTGATTGATTCATCGGGGAGCACAGCAAAACTATATCAAAACATCCATTTACAAACTCACACAACTTGTGCAGTACACTTTAATTTATCCAGTCATATGCTCAGTACTTCCCAAACATAGGCAAACCTTTAGTATTGCTAGCTTGAAAAGAGCGTAGATAATGTTTACATTTTTTTTTTTTTTTAAGCAAAAATGCATGTGTTCGGAAAGAACTGAGCATACGACTGGATAAATGTGACCAGGATTATATATTATTATTATATTGTGAGAGTTTGTAAACAGATGTTTTGATGTAGTTTCACTGTGAGACGTGGTCCCCAGTCAATCAATAAGTCATTATGTTTTCCTCATGAATTCATTATAAGACAGCATGACTGACTGATATACAAATGGTCATTTTGTGGGTGCAGTATTCCTTTAAATAAATGAAGCAACACCACAGTGCAGGAATTCTGTCACAAGTAAAAGTCAATTAAAATACGCTTTAAGTACCTAAGGGCCAAGCTCAATATGCAGATTGGCTTTTTTCCAGAATAATATGATATTGTTTGATTATTATTATTATCCGTATTATTATTATTATTATTATTATTAATGTATTAATATATAAGCATCAATTTGCAGGTGGTAAACGCGGGGCTAACAACTTCATACTCTGTTTGGTAGCTTAATCTAAGGTAATATTTCATGGATTCTTTAATTATATTTTGTATTACTGTATTTGTATAGTTGGTAAAGCAGTGTCTGTTCAAAGCAAACTTTATGTACCAAATCTGCACAGTGTCCAAAGTGACAAATATCAGTTCAGGAAGGACCCAAATGCAGAACAGCAGGGTTGAGGTTGACCAAAAAGCGAGCTTTAATAAAGCTGAAAAAAAAATCCAGAACAGGCAGGTAACAGAAAGTCCAAATGACAGAAGAACCAAAACTAACTGAAAAGGACCCAGGCAGGAAACAACACCAAGAACACTGAGATGAGCACAAGGAATGAATGCAGACAAGTTGACCAGGAACAAAGGGAAACACACACAGAAAAGTAATCACAAGAACAAGACACGGCTGGAGGACTCGGGCAAAAGGAGGGAAATGGGGATTGACTAACAACAAGGATGTGGTGGGGAACACTAGGGTGGAGCTAACAAGACTAATACAGAACAGGTGTGAAAAGAAGACTCTGGGAACAGGGAAGGACTAACAAGATAGGTGTGACAGAACACAGGCGGGAACACACACAAAGACAGGGAGTAAAACCAGACACGACACCTGAGGAGAGAATCCTCAAAATAAGACACAGATATAGCTTTACTACATCACAGTAGTTATTTTCCAGAGAGATTTTAAAATGCCAGATGTAAATAGATTGTATTTCACTGTTTTGCATTGAGCTCTGTTGAATAATGAAACCTGACACTATGCCATTTTGTGCATAACAGGACTCAATCTCATTGGCCTGAGAGTTGCTAAGACGTGTGTTGTGGTTACAGGTTGATTGTTCTGGCTTAATGACAGAGCTCCTACTTTCACTTCCACCATCAGTCACTTGTTCGCTGCACTGATAAAGACTCTGACCTTTCCTGTTGGATGAAGGCCTCCAATAAGACAAAATCACTTAGCAACCCTGCAGCTATAAAGGTAGGCTCTGACAGTGTGTAGGTATTTGTGTAAGAGGGAGAGCTTGTAGGAAGATAAGAGATAATGACTCTGTTTCATGTAATTTCTTTGAATTTATGCAACCTGGCAACTGCGATCATTGACAGTCTGATTGTATATGCTCGGCTCGTACTTGAAGGACTGTGAGGCTATTGACTAAGAGCTCTCTTGTGATAGAGTGGGTACTGTATGCATAGTGATGTAACAGCCTTTATATTCAGGAGATGAAGAGGTAGAACAGGCCACGCACAAGCACACTGAGTATTGAGAGGTCAGAGCTGCAGAGTTTTTGGGATAAAAGCTTTCGTTTTCTGTAAAAACAACCGGTGGATTTAATGTTGCCGTAGCAGATGTACAGGAGTCCTCCCACATTGTTATAGAAGACTGTGCAGCATTTTGCTTGCACAGCTAACAGTCAACATTTGCAAAGTTAATCCTCCTTGCTTGTGGTTTCTATTGTGTATTTACACCTTGTGTTATTGAAACTGGCTTTACTCGTAGTCTGGAGTCCCACAGACCCCACTCCATGTGTATTAACAATTGAAAAATCAATTACTTTGAAATCCAGTATGAGGATAGTAGGCAGTGGTTAAAATATATACTGGGGAGGGAACACATCCCCACCTATGTTCATCTATGCTCAATCTGCCCCTCACAATTTGCCTCACAGGGCTTTACAGCATACAACATCCCTCTGTCCTTGGACCCTCACAGAGGATAAGGAAAAACTCCCCCAAAAACCTTTTCAGGGGAAAAAAATGATAGATACCTCAGGGAGAGCAACTGAGGAGGGACCCCTCTTCCAGGACGGACAGATGTGCAAAAGATGTCATGTGTACAGAACACATCAACATAATTACAGTAATCCATATGACAAAATGATACATAAAGAGAGACAGAGAGAGATGCAGGGCAAACAGTAATGACAATAGCTATGTTATAAATATATATTAAGATGTGACAGTATATGTATGTGACAATAATAATCACATGTGTATAATAATAGTAGAAGTATTACTAATAATAACAGCAGTAGTAGGTCGCATCAGGCAGGACCATGGCAGCAGCGTGACCACAACCCACAATCCAGGTGTATCTGCGATTCAAGGTAAACCTACAAGACAGTGGAGACAGAGACTCCAGCGAAGAAGCTGAGTTAGTGATACACAGTACTGGGATGTCAATGTTAGCAAATGAAGAAGAGCCACCTTTCAGAATCTGAGAGTGAGAGAGAAAGAAGGAGAGACGGGGCTCAGTGTGTCATAGGAGGTTCACCAGCAGACTAGGCCTATATCAGCCTAACTAGGGGCTGGTCCAAGGCAAGCCTAAGCTTAGCTGTCAAAAAGGAAAGGCTTAAGTCTAGTCTTCAATCTGGAGACGGTGTCTGCCTCCCAAACTGAAACAGGAAGATGGTTCCATAGAAACAAAGAAAGACAACCACACACCATCGTCCAAAATAATAATTAGCAAATGTAATCATAATGATAAATAAACTTAACAAAATGCCATTACGATTACTGCTGATTCTAATACTATGGTGAACTGCAGTGGTGGCGTTGCTTGACTACTGTGGGTATGTCAAGTCAGTCTCTATTTCATTACTTGCAAAGGGGTAAAAAATTGGAAAGCTGAAATGTAATATGAGTTATACATAGATGATATTGCCATTGATTTGTAGTTTTTGTAAAGTCTTAGTATGTCATAAAAAGGTAAGAAAAAGTCATTGTATAGTATGTCATGAAAAAAGTCAGTGTGTGCACTTTTCCTGTGCGGCCCTCAATCATATGCTTGCTCCCTAAAATGGCACTCAGCCATCAAAACTCTGAGAACTCCAGGGGTTTTATTTATTAAACAATGTGTAGGATCCATACTAAAAGTGTGTGTACAGACAAAAGCCATAAATGACGTGCGCCAAAATATTCAACCATTTCTACAATCAGGCTTCCACCTCACTATCTATGTCGCCAATTCCCCATCTCCAAAACAAAATGTTCATTAGCATGGGTCAAAGTTTCTCCAATCAAGTCTGCTTTTATAGATGACAACTTTTGTGTGGGAAATGGCCTACGTCACTTTCAGGCTTCGTTTTGTGCATATGCATTTTTAAATGAGACCCCAGATCTAAGACTTTGTTCAAAATGCTATAAAATGGTTTGTTTTGCTGTTCAGTTTCTTAAAATTTCTCATGGAGGTAACTCCCCCTCAAACACCCCTGGAGGGTTGGGTTGAAGAGGGTGGACATTGGAAATAGCCCCCCACCCCAGTGTCAAAAAGGTGATTACGGCCCTGTGTAGGAAAACAAAATACATTGAAGGATGCTTACCCTTCCCTTTGCCACACATGGGACTTGCAGATTTGATGAAGGTGGTGACTTATGCCTTGGGACCAATTACAACCACAGAGGTTGAACCCTGTATTAGACTCCTTAGAGACAAACTCTTATAAAACTCCAATAACATAAATCCTGATAGACACTTTTGGGATTTGGGAGGGATATCACTGCAAAAAAACAAACGTCCAACACAAATCGCAGACATAGAGCACATGGAAATCCACTTTATGTAACAGTGTTTTACAGCTGGGGACTGTAAGTAATGCATCGTTTTCTGTAGAAATTCATCAGTTCAAAATTAATCAAAGCAATTCGGACCACTCAGATTTAAGTGGTTGGGGAGAGCCAAGCGAAACATTAGGGTCTGTTATGACATATTCATGAGACATATTTATGAGACAATTTCTAGCCCAGTTTTGAGATATATTTATCAATGAAAATAACATTTTCCTCTACAGCTTCAGAGGGGTGGATATGACCTCCCGTCCCATGATGCCCTGGCACAGATCCTACCAAATGGCCGCTACCCTCTCAAGGGAGCGAAGACGGAGCCCCACAGAGCAGCCCAACAAGAACAGGAGAAGCCAGAGGCTGCACAGGCCAACAAACCCAACATTAACCACACCTATCAAGTACATCATGCCCATCAACGGTAAGACAGATAATACATGCATGGAGTTATTGTGATGATCCTTGTATGAATAATATTTTAGTATGATTAATTTCCATTAAATGTGTTAATCCCTTAGACGCTCTCTGCATAATCTGGAGGATGATCCCCACATGGCAGAGATCACAGACCTCCAAACTAAGGTGATTAGACACAATCAATACCTAAACTCTTGAATCAATCAGTGAAGCAATCCCCGCTGTCACGTTTCGTTAGTCAACAGGAACATGGGTGGGCCAATGAGACGGGACAGTATGCTGCTGCAGACACACAGTTGGGAGACGAAGTGACAGATATTAGAATAGATTAACATTTGTCAGACTGATTGCACTCTGGGAGGATCCAGAATGATGAGGATGAAACTTGTGCCAGGGGTCCAGGGGTGTTATTTATGCATATTTTGACATTTTTCTCCTGTCGCTGTGAGGTTGTCTTGATAATTAGATTTACTTATTTAAATTTGCTTAGATCTGTGGATTGGGTGAAGCGTTATGTGTTTATCCATGAAGAGTTTATGTTAATTCATGTAGATTTTGATAGATTATATGATAGGAAAGCAGATATCTGGGTCTTAATCGGACAGTTTCACAGTGACACTGCATCCATCTCCTGTATAATACTACTGTACATACATAATGATAATGATAATGATAATGGAATGGAAACACCTAATTAGATATCACATCATTACAATTCAATCCTGCTGCGCTTTGTCTGTGATATTTGTCCTGAAGTGACAGTATGTATGACACATGGCCACTTTAATGTCTTCAAATCATAGCGAGGGGAGGGAACCTCCAGTATTCACGGGCACAGACAGGCTCCCCTTTTATTTTTGACACATGATGGGACTTTCCAGACTCATCACGGGGAGCCGTCCTTCCCATCATGCCTGTGGGCCCCCCAGCAGAGACACCATCTCATCTTCAGTCATGATTGTCACCTCGTCCCTGCCCTTTCAATTAGATGCTCAATTTCACCCTCGTGTCCCACGGGAGTCACAACCACACCATCCGAGATTGGAATTCCCTAATCGTCGCCCCCTCCTCGTACATGCAGCTGGACCCTGCTCTCAGCCTCCATTCAATTGTGTCTATTCAGTGTGATAGAGGAGTATGTGATAGAAAAGAGAACAATGAGCATGGAGAAGCTGCTAGACAACACGCACATGCCTTACACACAGACATGTCTTGATAACAGCTCTGCAGCAATATGAATTTAAAGCCAAAGTCGAGGGGATTTTGTTTCTTTTTAAAAGGAAAGAAGAGAAAAAATGTAAAAGAAATATTTTTTTAACATTTTTGTACAAGTCAGTATTGTTTTTAGTCTGTCATGCTGAAACACTCTCATGAATTTGGCATGAGTTTTGCCTCTACAGTTCAGCAAAAGGGCTTTCACAGGAAGACGCTGCATGAATGCACGACTAGGATTCATCCAAAAACCCTGCTTAAAGCTCCCATAACAAAAGAGCTTCACAGGATGGGGTGTTACTGTCCCTTTGGATTTGAGGAGCCGGAGTCATGTATCCATTGTACTCAAACCTCAGACAGCCGATTACAAGAACGTTGTACTTTATGGCATAATGTTCTTCTTTGGCTTCCAGTCATGTCCCATTTGTTGTGTCATGTGATTATCCGAAACCAAGAGAAATCAATTATTCATCGAGACTCTGAGACTTGGAGATAAACATGCAATGTGTACTTGCTGCTGGGATGTTTTTACATTCTCTTAGTGTACAGAAATGTGTTGTTTATACATCCTGGAGGACCATATAAAGACATGGGGCTGAAGAGACATCTAGTGGTCATAGTCACACAGCACCACTCAGCATCAAATTTGTCCCAACAGGTTTCTGGGAATATTTTGTGCCATTTTTGTTCCTGGAAGTTATGAGTGTGATTATTTTTTTACTTTAGTCAAAACAGTTACTTGTATAAAAATGCACTAGTCAGTGTCTCTGGCTTGATTACACATTACCTTGAGGGGGAGGTATAGTTATAATCTTTGCACTTCACACCAACCTTGATAACACTCATTAAAGTCAAGCTGGTACAGTGTCACAATGACCTCTACAAGGGCATTAGCATTGAAAGGGGATACAAATAATTCACTCACTCTTTTCTAACCATCTGTAACAAATCAAGAAACTGGTGTGCAACTGACCGTCCACGTCTCTCCATCAGGAGGTGGAAAACTATCGTTTAGCCATGAGTAAGATGGCAGAGGACATCATAGCGCTGAGGACACAGGTGGTGACGCTGGAGACAGAAAACAGTCAGCTCCGCACTGATCTGTCTCTGCAGCAGGACCTTGGCCGAGACCTGCTGGATGATACTGACATTGACGTCATGACCAAGGCTGAGATTGCTGACCGTATAGGTAGGCCACAGCAGAGCACTACAGTTTAATTGAAGTGAATAGATAAAGAACGAAATCCATATTTTCAACATTTGAATAATACATTTTTTGTAGTTTTGTAGGATTGTACACCACAATCGTGCAGTTTTTAATCTGTAAAATGCATAATGCACTTCCCTTTTTTTTAATTTAATTTTTTTTTTTTTTTTTGCTAAATTCAGGAACAAAACAGGAAAAGATACCATTTACGGAATGTGGAAAAACAGTATATCTCCAGTTACCATTACAGTCCTGTGTGGTAAATAAGCAAACAAATGGAGCAGTAATTATTACTCAGCCTAGGCAATAATTGTAATATATGTTGGGGGTACATATCCCCCTAATATTCAAATATACTCAAAATGCCCCCCCAAATATTGATTAGAAAATATGGAGAAAGAAAACAGCTATACTACGAAAGGCAACCACACGCTGCCATCCAGAATAATCATTAGCAAATGTAAACATAATCATCGATAAATTTAAGAAATTGCCATCATTATAACTACTAGTTCTGGTATTACCGTGTATGGCAGTTCTGCGTGGGATTTATTTAAGTGGCGTTGCCGTACCCCATCAGAAGTCGCTGTTCAACTACTGTTGGTAGATATAGCTTAATTTATGTACCTTAACTGTGCTGTTTCTCTATTTCATTACTTTTAAATGTATTAAAAAGTGGAAAAATAGAATGACATATGAGTCTTATGTTGGCTGTATCATTGTCGACTGTTATAGTTTTTGTTAATGCATAATAAAAAAGACAGGAAAAAGGTAATAAAAATAGTATGTCATTAAAAAAGTCCTAAAAAAAAGTCCCAGTGTGCATGCTGTTCTTTATGGTTTGTTTATTTGGCAAGGACAAATGCATAAGACATTGCTACATGTGTAAGGTACAAAGTAGATGTAATGCATACAGGTTTATAACCATGGCTAATTTGCAACCCCTGTCCCCAGTTGGTTTTAGAGTTAAAACAGTAAGTGTAAGATGACTAAGCATGGAGTATTTTAATACAATAATTCAACAAATGTACAGTAAAATAGGAACAAAGACTAAGTCAAAGTGAAGACCACAATAAGAACAGAGACAAAAAAACAATTAACAATGACTATGTTCATATTGTCAATGGTCTGTTTAGCTGTTGAGTTTCTTAAAATTTCTCTTGGGAGGAATTCCCCCAGACTACCTTGGAAGGTTGGGTCACAGAGGTTGTCGATTGAAAATGGTCCCCCCAATGTTAAAAGGTGATTACAGCCCTGTACTTAACCATATACTTTCCATTCATCAGCATCCTGTCTTAAAATGAGCCTGAACCAAAACCATGCAAAAGCAATAATTGACATTCTTTCACCTAAAGTTGACATTTAAATTAAGAAAATCTTCAGACTGATTAATGTCAGTGTTTATTATCCAGCCAGCAGCTGTTGAACCTTCGGTCCATGTCATTTTGGATTTGAGGGCATTTCATTGGCAGATGAAGCAGTGACGGTGGAAGGTGGCTCACTGCACGCTAATCCTTGTGAGTGTATATTCCCGAGCAGACTGTGGCATTTTGTGATAAGGCAGCTCATTTGGGCCACAGACCCTGATAAGCTGTGTGGGTACTACATCCCTTATCTCCTGAAGGACAGTTTGCGACCCTCAGTGAAAGGATGTTCCTGAAGGTCTCACTGCTGGCTTTAAAGCAAAGGGACCAGATTTAAGTTTCGTCCAACAGAAAATCCATTTCATTTCAAAAGCGTTATTGATCAGTATTGTTCAAATGTCCAAGCCTCAGAGCTGACATGTTAATCAGTCTAAATTTGAAAAGTAATTTAAGTTTCATACTTTACAGATCAAATCCTAAGGCTCATCTTTGATCAACTTAGCTGTCTTTTTCTGATGTCAACATATGAAAATAGCCATTTAGATTTATGCTCTTGTGTGTGACTTGTCTTGCTGTTGTTGTTTTTAAAGCCTCTCTGAAATTCAAGCTGGCCAGTGAGACCAGTAAGGCTGCCTCTCAAAGGGACAGGATCCAACAGCTGCAGAATGAACTGATTAGGGTTAGAAGATACACACACACACAGGAATAAACCTTAAATAATCACTGTGTATGTAGTCTGACACTGTCTTCCTTGCTTGTGTTGTGCAGAAGAATGACAGTGAGAAGGAGCTACTTAAACTTCAGAGAGTCCACCAGCAGCAACAGCAGGATCTGCAGCGTCACCACAGTCACATGACAAAGATGGCAACTTTGGAGGCCACAGTGAAACAGCAGGAAAAGGTGAACAGTCTAGGCTATACGTACCAGTATAACTATCTGATTTCACAACTTGCAGGGCGTCTTTTATGACTAACAGCACAAAATATATATATGTATATTTGTGCCATTTTTTTCAGGTCATTGAGAAGATGGAGAAAGCGTTAGACAGCAAACTCAGAGAGAAGAATAAGCAGGGTGGTGACAAGAGGCTGGTGGTGAAAAAACAAAAAGGTACAAGGGCTCAGTGAGGCGAGGGAAGAGTATGTTATCTCGAAAACATTTACAGAACATCTCTTGATGTTGTGCAGGTGAGACTGACCACAGAAGGGAAGAGATAGAGTCGGCCCTGGCAGCAGAAAACGCTCGTCTCAGAGGAGAGCTGGACAGGATTCGGCAGCAGCCTGCTCCAGTCATCATACAGCAGGCAGCACAGGTAGATAGCTACACATTCGAGCCAGTGTTCAAACAGTGTGGTGCTACCCAAATTTAGTCTTGCAGTTACTGAAATCTCAAATTAATATGTGTTATGTCCCCTCAGACAAAAGACGCACTGCCACTCCAGGAGAGACTGAGTTTACTAAATAAACTGGAGATGGCCAAGGCAAAAGTCCAAACCCTGGAGGCTCAGGTAAAAGAACAGAAAAATCATATGCGCACATGTTTCATAGACTTAATGAGTCACTGATCAGGATGTCTTGCCCTGTATTTGCATGTGTTACAGCTGGAGGAGAACTCTAAATCATGGGGGAGACAGAAACAAGAAATGTTGACCAAACTAAGTGAGCACAGGCACGGCTTCGTCCGGACGTCCACTACAATCCTTCATAACGTTCCTCTGGTCAGTTGAGTGCAGTTAGCCTTCGTTTTATATGACACACACTGTGCAGTGTGGAATTATTTTATCTGACATGGAGTTGTTTCTGCTTCTTACAGAGGTCTGCGTCACAGTTATTGCATCAGCCGAGCAGACAGAGGAAGCAGAAGCCTTTAAAATGACCCAGACTAAACACACACACACAGAAAAACTTTTCTTTCAGGGTGTCAACAGGTCCTTAAAGAGTCTTAATATGTCTTCAGTTAAGTTTTCTTAATATAAGGCCTTAAAAATATTAAACTGTCTTAAACTCAGGTTTGATGGGTCTTAAATATTTTCTGTCACATTACTGCAAAAATGATATCTGTAGACACCCTGTCTTTGATTTCATGTTCCAAATAAAATATTTCCATCTAAAAAATATATTTAAATACTAATATTATATTATGTAATAAAATGATATATAAGAAGACATACTGTAAATCAGTAGTATTGTTTTATTTATCACTGGTTTATATATATTTTTAAAACACTTTTGCCACATGTAATGAAGCATCTGTACATTCCAGGTTTTTTTTTTACTATACACACAGAGACTACACATTTGCATACTGTTGAAATTACTCACTAGATAATACACAGTATATATAATGACTTTTTTCATTAGTTATGACGTTACTGAGGTAATTTGTTCATGCACATTTTTAGCTTTTCTTTCCTAATGTTTTCTTGCTCTCCAACGACATCTAAGGTTGGAAGAATTTATTTGTTGTTTATACTGTGGTGCATTCGGGGGCCTGGCTTATTATGCACCACCGTTTTTCTCTCAAACTTGGCATCATTGACTCGTCTGCAGAGGCTTCAGAGTCAATATTATAGGCCTGTCTGGTAAGAGAATGAGCTCAAAGGTACTCTGCACTTCCACATGGCGCTGTTTCTCCACTCGGAAGTTCTCAAGCATCTGTAAAGACGGAAGATAGTGCACATAGTTAATATGCTGTGTGAATGAGCCGCAGCATACAGTGAAATGTCTCTTTATAATCTGTATATTTTACATGGATGAGGAAGAGTTGCATCTCTGTCTCTGCTATTCTGCGTCCTAAACACTGTCGGGGGCCGAAGCCGAAGCCCAGGCTCCGGAAGTAGTGTGACTCCGTCCTCAACCAGCGAGAGGGCTGATACTGCTCCGGACGAAAGAACACTTTGGGGTATCTGCCCATTGCATACAGTCCTAACTGGACCAGGGTCTGAACACAGAAAACACAAAGCAGTTTCTTTAACAATGCTCAAACACAAAAAAAAAAAACATGATTAGATGATTTATATTTTTGATTGCCTCTTACCCCTGCTGGGATGTGGTAGTTTTGAATAATGATATCTTCTGATATGTATCTTTGCAAGCTCACTGCGACTGGGTGTAACCTGAGGGATCAAAGTCTATGTATTAGTAAGAAAACTACTACACAAAACTATTCCCTAAACAACTGACATCTTAAGATTAGACAGTATCATAAATAGCATGACATGTTTGGCATCATTTACCTCAGAGTTTCCTTCAAAGCTCCTTTGACCAGTGGAATCCGCTTCAGCATCTCCTTCATGTCTCCCTGGCTCTCAGCCCGAGCTGCAGCCACCTCCGCTCTCAGCTCCTCCTGGAGGCTGGGGTGCCTTGCTAGTTCATACAACGTCCACAGCAGTGTTATGGAAGTCTGAAACACACAAACAGAATTAAGCCAAAAAGAAGTTACGTTCTGAAGAAATAAATAATTTGTGTCACTTTTTTTCCTTACTGTATCTACTCCTCCAGCCATCAGCTCGGTAATGCTGGCCTTGATGTCTTCAACGGACAGCTTGTCCAGCATGAGCAGGCTCGCCAGGACACCTGGGTATTTCTCTGAAGTGCCAGCTTCCTTACGTAACTGTCTGTAGATGTTTTGGATGCAGCGGTCCGCTGAGGCACCAAGATAATAAAAATGAAATAAGAAACAGTGCAAACATCACAATATAAAACATGATTTCCAAATAACACAACTAAGACTCTTATGGTGCCAAACAAAACAATACTTAAAATGTTCAGCCTGTTTGTTCTCTGAGTTATACCTTGGTTGAAGATCCCATCCCAAGCCTCCACGTGGTCACGCCACACCTTGGCTCCAAGCTGCCTCAACAGAGCAGGAGGTATGTACAGCATGGGTGAGGTAGTCTTGAACATGAGGGTGATGCAGTCGATGAAATGCTGAGCTTCAGGGTCGATGTAGTCCAGCATCAAACCAAGACGCTCCCCGTATAGCACTGAGCTCACCGCTGTGTGGGACAGAGCAAACATGAGACAAAGATAAGTAATATTGTAGGGAAAAAAGGAGCACTGACCTACACAGTGAGTGAACTTGAATATCAAGAAAGATAGAAGTCCATCTTACACTCTAGTGCATATTTAAAGAGTTCTTGAGAGAGGTCAGCGGTCCATTTGTTTTGGCCACTTCGCTTTATCTTTTTGTGCACCCTGGCAACAAAATCCTGGCCCACTTCATCCAGCAAAGGCACAAAGTTTTCCTGCACCTTCGGGGCAATCACCTCCTTGTTGAGAATCACACGGTTTGATCTCCAGTCTTCTCCATCCCTGTGGGAAGATTGGATTTTAACCTTCACTAGCAATGCAACTAATAGGCACAGTCTTAAAGCACTTGGTAAAACCTCTGGTTCCATGACAGAAATATTAGTAAAAGTGAATTTGTAAAGGAAGAAGGGATAATAGCACGTACTTAAGTAACACTCCATATTTGCGGTTCCTGTAGTCTCTGTATGACGTCCAGGCTTCAACTCTCAGCCTTTTAGGATAATTGCCCTCGGCTTTGAACAGGATTGCAGCGTCTTCAGGATTGATGATATTTACGCTTTCATAATAACCTACTTTTTCTCTGACATACAAAAAGTCAGAGGAAGAAAGGGGTCAAAATGCCATATCAAATTTGTTGTCAGAGCAAGATGACCTTGTGGATTGTCGGTCACAGATATTTTTCATGGACAAAAATATTTGTATTTATATTAAGACCAGAATTCATTTCAAAATAATGACATCATTCAACGTTATTTGTTTTGTCTACTTGTGTTCCTTTTCATTGAAAATACAGTAGATGATAAATGTCATGCAGTTATTCTATCATTTAGGATTTAAGCAAACTTGCTTTGTCTTCCGTACCTGTAAATGGGTCCAAAAGTGTTGAAATTCTGCAGCATTATGCGGTGAAGGTTTTTGAAGCCATCCAGTTTCCAGAAATTGTACAAATTTGCCACCCCGTTCTTCCACAGTCCAGGAATCTCACTGAAAGGCCTGACAATGCTGCTGCTCTCCGAGTACACCTGTCTGACCACCGGCATACTGCTGCTGCAGCGCACACCTGTTGTGGTCAGCTCTCCCATCCAGGACAGGGGCGCCGTCACAAGGCTGCGGCACACACTCCACCTGGCCATCACGACAACAAAAATGCTCACACTGCTCTACCTTCAGCAGCTGCTCTGGCTCTCCCGGGGACATCTGGTGCAAAACAAGGAGGCTGGTCTAAATAGTCGGCCCCCCTCGCTGTACTGATCAAGGCTCTCCAGTTGAACTCTGCAGCCTAACAGAATATCCACCACAGCGCAGTAGCTGGTGTGTGTTTAGCTGCGTTATTTACTGAATATTTTACAGCACCCTGCAATCATCTGTATGTAAAAAGCGAGACTATGCAAACTTGTATTAGGCCTTAAGACCTTCAGAAATGTTGCTGTCTTTAAGTGTTTGCTTTGGTTTGTGAAGAGAGACAAGGCCACGACAGAAACTCAGTTTAAAACAAATATAATTAATGTATACATGAAAAGCATGTACTGTACAATCAAAATGAAAGATTTAATAAATACGTATACAAATGTGACTGTGAGCACTATTTCTTAAGAAGCTTTATGAGTTCTTCCAGCTTCATGGCGGTCTTAATGTCCCCCTGGATTTTCAGTCTGCCGCTGGTGTAAGCAGCAAATGGTCGAAGCTCGCCCTGGAACATGGCCAGAAGGTCGCTGTCAGACATGCTCAGTGTCACATCTGGCTCTCTGCACAAGGACCCTGCTCCAGCTGTACCACTACCTACAGGACACACACAGAGCGACAGAGGTATTTAATATTTATGTAACCGTGCTTTTGTTTCTATTTACAGCAGACATTTGAGCATCATTACACAGATTTAGCACAACTTGCATTCAATTGATCTCAATCCTGTAATAATGGGCTTTTTACAGTAATATATTAAGCATCACCTTGGCTCAGATCCACATAGTAACTGTGATGCTGTCCATCCCCCGAGCTTATGTCAAACTGGAAGCAGGCCCCAACTTGCTGGACCAAAGTTTCTGAGAGCAGGAGCTTCACCCCACCAAGCAGCTCCTCAACAGAACCTGGTGTGGCCACGACTGCCTGAGGGGCACTGCTGAACTCATCTGTAAAAGTTAAACTGTCCTCTGAGGAGAAAAAGCCACAGATATATTATACAGCATTATCATAACGGGTACATGTTGTACCAAAACAGTTGTGTGTGTGTTTGGGGGAGGGGTACCTTGTTTAGGCTGTGAAACGCCACTGCGGCTCAGAAAGTGCATGGCCAACTGTTGAATGGGGCCAGTGAGGCCTTCCAGTCCAGGCACAGAAGGAGGCATGATGAGGGGTCCAGAGAGGCCTTCCTCTGGTGCTTTTAGTATAGAGCCCAGGGTAAGCTCGACCCTGTCTACCTCCAGCCCCCAGGGCCGAGTCATCTCATTTATGTCCATCTATGCAGAGCAATAAAGGATGTAAGTTTGATGTGATACAGTGAAAAGCCAGAGAAAAGTAGGTTCAGTGTAGTCTTACCCCAAGATATTCTCCAAGTTTAATGCTCTCAGTTTGGATCTCCCTGACAGTCTTCTTAGCCAGGCTGTAGGTCAAAGCCTTCTGTGCCGTCATCCTGGTCGAGGCGTTCAGGTCCTGGACTGATAGTACAGACATGACGGGGTTCCAGATCCTGAACTGGATGTCTGCTCCCACTGACAATATGCCACCATCCACAGTAGTGACCTATAGTAGCAGAATTCCATGTTATTTGAGTGCTAGACATCTAACACTGGTCATTTAACATCTGTTGCAATTTAAAGAAGACAGAGACATCTCCTCTTTATTCTTAAAGCTTTTATTGACTAAAGAATATTTACTATGTAAGGCTGAATATACAAGTTGGGAAATGCTGAATGCTGGTAAGGACAGAAGGAGGGTTTTGGCACCATTTCGAAATGAAGCCAAAAATGCAAAAGGAAATGTTAATAAATAAAAAATTTTTTTTAAAAAAAACCCCTCATAACTCTGATAAATGCTTCAGTTTAAAAAACAAAATTGAATTCTGAAATGTATGGTGGCAAAGATGGAAGAATAAAACTCATTCCCCACACATAATAAAGTTTACTCTTGGCAATAAGACATTTTAAAATAAACTGCACACACCACGGGGTTAAATCTTTTCGTATCAACACGTGCTGTCAGACACTACTTAGAATTTTCTCAGTATCAGTTTACTTGCTTCATTTTCACGCTGATCAGCAGTGCACCAAGAGTGCCACCTGTAGGACAAAGTACATAAGAACAGATTTGTTTTCTGTCATCATTACACCTATTTATATTGGCCATTAAGAGATCCTCCCTAATGCTCTTTTAATGGTCATAATGGGGAACAAACTCCAAAGTCCTCCTGTGCAAAAACATATCCAAAAGATTATCTTATATGACTGACTATTGTATTAAGATAGACTTGAAAACTTTAGTTTGTCTTGTTAGGTCTTTACATAAAAAAACCTGTAGGAGAATGTGAGGTAAACTATTCCTGACCAGTTATTTTCTGCATTTTTCAATATTTCAGCATGCAAAAACTTGAACACGTTGCCCATCACAACAGCTGACTGATGATGAAATCGGCAGTCGGCTGCTCGTTCAGAGCTGGTGTCAGCTATATGCATGCACACCTGGCTTGGCTGATGGCTGATGATGATGTAACTGCAGAGTGTCATTAGCTCCAATAAACCATCCAGTTTGGCTCATCAGATACACATGGTCTCTGGACACGGTGCAGCCTCTGGTCACATAATGCTCCTGGCACCAAGAATGAATTTTCTTAAATCTACCATTATGTAAAGGTCCACAGAACTCTGCAATTCTCTGCCTATTGATAGTTTATCTACCTTCAATGACAAAATTAACTTCAAAAAGCTTATAAAGAAATATCTTACCATATAACAAGATAAGCACATAGCGCTATTTTAATGTACTTATATCTGCATTTTTTTATACATGTATCTGTTTAGTCTGCTTGTCTTAGTATAACTTATGTTTGTAGTGTCTTTTCTCTCAGCTGCTATGCTGAATTATGGTGTAATCTATCATTACATTATCCTTAGTTTCTTTCATTTGAGTATCAGTTTGGTATTTTGATTGTTTTTAGATCATAATATGTCTGTACTGTGTTTCAATGTGTAGGATCCCAGGAGGCCTTGAGACACATTCGTGTGCTTCTCATGGGAATCCTTGAATAAAGAATGAACATTAAACTCAGTATAGTGGTTCACCTGACAAGGAGGAATGTTGAAGGCACGGGTGCGCAGGTCGACTCTCTGCCACTGGTCAATGAGGGGCAGCACAAGAACAATACCAGGGCCCTTCGGAGGACAAACTCGACCCAGACGAAACACTACTATCCTTTGGTAGTTAGGCACCGTCTACGAAACAAAAATGAGCCAGAGTTGGTTGCTTTTTTTCCTCAGCAAGTGAGTGGACATGCTGTGGGAGTAATTGGTGAAAGCTAATGTAACCTTACTTTCAGTACAAACCATCCTGATATAGGAAATGTTAGAAAGGTGCAGATGTAGACGAAGAAGATGACAATCAGGTTGCAAATCCAGGACACCCATCCTTGAGAGGTATCTTATAGACAGAAAAACAAAACAAAAATTTAAGAGTCTCAGTCTTAAAGATATTCTCAGTAAACCCGCCCTTAAAAGCAGTTGTATGATGTCATCTGTGGCTTTAAGGAGGGGTTTTAAAGTCTGATAAAATGACTCAAGTGACATGAGTTGAGTGATCTCTGCTCGGGACTGGGGACTACATAACAGGACGTCTGCATTACAAACTGAGGGGTGTAGAGTCTGAAAGATGTGGTTTTACCAAAGAAGAAGGGCTAAGGGAATATGATACTGAATTGCATTATGGGAAGTGTAGGATCCAATGTTTTTTGGAGTTTGACTCATCCTACGGACTGAATTTCAGGATACATATACACTGTAATTTAACAATGTTTATCATAAATGGCAAACCAGTTATATAAAGACTGTCAACTATTTTTTAGATGCTCTTATAATTATTTCTGTTTGATTATTTGAGGCTAGTTTGTTTAACTTTTGCCTACTGTCCCACCTCCACTGTTGACCCCAAACTCACCACGTCCCAAAGCCAGAGCTACAACAGTTCATGTTTGTTAACGTTACCTACCGTTGAAGTCGTTTTCAGAGACACTGGGGATGTTGTCAAATGAAAAACCTTTGTGATAGCCGCGCTGTGTGAAGCTGTCAGTGTCCACAAACAAGCCAGGAGTCCTCGTACTGATGGAGTCCCTCTGAGGGAGCAGCTGATACGACTTGTTAAACATTGCTGTAAAAAATAACTGTTATATCTTCTTTAAAGCAACTTCATTTTATTTGTCCGTCTCCACTTGTCAACCAAAACCGTCTGACTGAAGTAAACAAAATATATATGGTGACTAAAATACAGGACGCTTTAGCTCATCATGCTAACTAGCTTAGAGGACAGTTGTTCCGTGTTTTGCTCCGGCTCTTCTTCTAAGTGTTTACTGACGGCGTGTGTTCATCAGTAAACGTGCTCATTACCGCCACCTAGTGGTGATGCAGCCTAACTGGAGTTTCCATTACAGGAAATAGCCATAAAACAAGGAATAAGTTGATTAAACTTTATCTGACAGATATTTTTACAGTCAGTTGTTGCTGTACTGGTTTCCACTGTAAAATGTATTTATTTATTTGTCTGAAATCATGTAAAGTTCGCCAAAGATGGAAGAAAAACACTAACACTAACAACTCAAAGTACACGTCAAATAAAATTTCTCCAAACATGTTTCTTTTTTATTTTAGGTAGTTATTATCACGCTAATGTATGTTCAAGTGTTCATTTCCCCCGATAAGTTGGTTTTAATTCGTTATTTGATTCTATAAACACAGTCTAACCATCTCGAGCTTTTATTTTGGTACTTCCGGTGACCGGCAGTGTGAATTTGCATATTAGCTAAATATTTAGTTTCACCCAGAACATTTAGATTTAACATTTAACATTTAGATTTATATTTAGCATTTAGATTTAACATTTAGCCTTAGATTTAATATTTAGATTTAACATTTAACATTTAGGTGCCACATTTAATATTTAGATTTAACTATTTAATATATTTCTAAGTTAACAAATATTGCTGTAAATGTGGTAAAAGGTGACGTTAAAAAATTCACAATACTTTTTTAAACATTGTTTGAAGCTAAATGTGGCAAAATGTTGATGTTATTTTCAGCGTGAGACACTTTACAAACGGCACCCCATATGTGCTGGGGGTCATTTTTGAGCTATTCTTTGTTTAGAATGTTTATGGCAGTGGGGATAAAAGAGTTGCGGTAAGTGTTTTTCTTGGACAGGGGGACTTTATAGCGGCGACCTGATGGTAGGAGCTGGAAGGACTTGTGCAGGGGGTGAGTGGGATCTGCTGTGATGAGGTTGGCTTTCCGTGTGACTGCTTGGGTATGAAGTTCTGATAGTGGAGTCTGAGTTTTGCCAGTTATTTTACTTGCTTGGTTGATGATCCGGGAAAGCTTTGATTTGTTCTTGACAGAGATGGAGCTGAACCAGAATGTGATGTTGAAAGTGAGGACCGATTCAATGAGTGACTTGTAAACAGCTATTAAAATGTCCTTCCTCACATCAAAGCTCCTGAGCTTCCTCAGCAGGAACAGGCGTTGTTGTGCCTTCTTATAGACCGAGTCCGTGTGCTGGGAGAAGGACAGCAGGTTGTCTACTGTTATGCCCAGGTATTTGAACGCCTCTACCTGGTCCACTGCCTGTCCCTGCAGCTTCAGGGGCTCAAAAAGAGGGTACTAGTTATGATGTAATGGTCAGGCACTAAGTCATATTATCTATAGTGTCTATATTTTGTAGCATCATTCTGTAATAAATGTTGTGTTATGTATTGTGTTTTGTTTCTGTAAAACCAGATAAAGAATGGGAAAATATGACCAAGATGAACAAACTTCTCAGTTACAAAATGTCCATATTTATTCAGGATGAATATTTACAGTCAAAACACATTCATTATCATATATCTTAATAAAAATGCTTTTCTTTCAAACTGAGTACCTACCCAAAATATTATGTTATGTCTTTGGTTCTTTATAACAAAATTATAATATTTACAAGAAAATCATGTAATAGTCACCAAATAAAACCTGTATGTTTATTTCATTTGAATGCCATAATCTTTAATGTCTTTCTTAGAACAGACTTTTGGTTTAAAGAAGCAAAACCTTTCCATTAGTGATATTTCAAAATGCCTTCAGTGAAAAGGGGATACTATGTTGAATTTGAAAGGAGAAGTCATAACCAGAATATGTGAAACAAACAACCACACAACATGTTGCTTCAGGGGTTGGTTTATGGTGTTTTTTCTTACTGGTGTCATTCAGCCTTTCTCTTTGCTTGTTATAGTTTGCATCTTAGTTTTTGAACATGTCACACAGCAGCTTCTCCATGGGTGTGCTGCCAATGGTCCTGTGGAAGAACAGCTGCTCTATTTTCTCCGAGCTCACAAAGTGAAGGGATGGCAGCAGAAGTAACAGTCTCCCAAACCTTGATGGACGAGAACAGAGGAGAGTGAACAAGCTTGAAATACTTCAGATGTTTTTATGTTTGAAGATCTATGTAGTCAGTCTGAGAGGAAGTTACAGCAGGATTACCTGGCACTTTGGCCGGGGTACGCTGAATGGATGTGCTGACCCAACAACACCTGAGACTGGTCCTGCAGATTCTCCACCTGCTCTGGGTCTTTGAGGCTGCGTGTCTCTGCAAGTCAAACAGCAGACATTAGTAACAGTGTCCGTTCAAATGCAACGAATGCATATTCGTGAGGGAACAACCCCTTACCTGGCTTGAACAACACAATGGCTTTCAGGCAGGCAAACTCAGTGGGGTCAACAGCCAGGGCCTTAAAGCGATTAAAGACCTCCTCCAGGATGCGCAGGTCAGCTGTGGGGAGGCTGATCTTAGCCTGCTGTGTGGGAGACAGATCTGGCAGAGACAGAAGAGGACAGCTGTCCATGGGAAGAGACCACTGGATGGCACACAAGAGGAACATCTCACTCCAAGCTTCCTCGAGGAGAATCACCTGTGGACGACACAAAAATCCACGTTAACAGTGTCGCACAACATCAATGTGTGTGTGTTAGTTTGGTAAACAGACAGAAACATGTCAGTCAGTCTCACCTGGTCTCGAAATGGCAGGTGAGCAAAGACTGGCAAATTTTTTGCCCACTTGACGGACATGAAGAGGAGTCGTGCTGATGTCTCATAGATACTCTCTGAACATTTGGAGGTGTACGGGGACATACGACAGTCAGAGGGAGTCCGATCTCTCTCTGAGTCATTGGTCGTCACGTCAATGTTCTCCTCCACTGTGCATCAGAATAACAGAGTCATATAAATGTTAAGGCTACTTTACATAAGATTATATGCATAATTACTATTCAGATAAGACAATTCTAAATCATCCTTAAAGGCAAACCCCACTCATCTCTGACATAAGTAGCAAGGTCAAAATGGGAACTTGTTGTGTCCACCTTAATTTAATCTCTGCCATATAATCTCACCGTCCTCTGGCTCCAGTTTTGCGCAGGTCTCTGCAGTTAGCAGGCTGACCATAAAGCGGTGGTAATTATGAGAGTTGCTGCAGGGCTGAATGGTGGCAGAGGTGGTGTTGGAGGAGGTGAGCAGAGGTCTGCCGATGACTGCTGAATAGGTGGCAGGGGAAGTGAGCTCCCTTGTGGTGGCCAGGTGCTCCTTTTTAGTGTCCATACTTATAGAGTCTAGACTGACATGTGCTGTGCTGCGAGGCTGTCGCTCATTCTGCACAGCTGCCAAAGGGACAAGAAAACAGTCAAGAATAATGTATGCTATGACAGATCTAGCATGTGCACAGATACACAGTCAACTTCTCCTGAGTTTCTCACCATCTTTGTTCATGCCAGCCTGGAGACACTTCTTCAGTCGACAAGCTTGGCATTGGTTTCGATGTGCCTTGTCAACAGGGCACCTGCCTGTTCCAGCCTGGCACCTGTGATAAGATTTGAAAAATTCTGAGTGAAGACAAATACTATGTGAAAATATAAACTTGTCACACTAATATTTCTTCATTGTACACGTAGTTATTCTGACTGCCCTACTAGATCAAATTTTGCTCACCTGTAGATGAGTCTTCGTCTCACACTGCGCTTGAAGAAGCCACTGCAGCCGTTGCAGGCATAGATGCCATAGTGTTTACCACTGCTTGAATCAGAACACACTTTACAGAGCAGACTTTGGTCGAGTGCTTTACCTGAGACTGTGGAGGACAGAAATAAAAACCTTGCATTAATTCACACTCACTCATCCATTCATTTGTTCTGTCTTTTTTGTCTAATTCTTCTTATTGTATACACAGTGCACATCACTATTATGGACATATTCATCCTGATAACATAATTTGCTGTGAAGAAACACACTTGCAAGTTTTGTTTTTTAATTTTGCTGTCCTTGTTTAGCCCCTTTGTTCAATCTTTCATATTACAACAGTTGCATATTACATCAATTACTGGCTCACCTGCTTGATGTCCATCTGGAAGGTCATTGGAGGTGTCAGAAGAAAACATTTTGGTCATGTGGTCCTCCATTTTGAGATGTGTTCTAATGTCTGAACTTCAATTCATAAACTCTTGATAAATAGAGAATTATTCCCAGAAGTGTTTCCTCTTCTGTCTAAAGTGTGTTTTGTGTAATTGCCTGGCTGGATCAAAGCATCTTTATGTGAAGTGCTGACACGTGGCAATGCCACCAAAACACATAGAATTTTAAGTTCTTTCCACAAAAGCTGTAAGTTTACGTTTAGTATCTTCAGAAGCAATAAGAGGAGTTACTCCAGGAATTCTTCAATGATTCTGGTCCAGCGCTGTTGTCCTTTCTCCAGTCGTTTCTGAAGTGATGAAGGGTCAGTAGAGTCACAACTTGTCTTCTGTCTTTCTCTCTACCAGAATGAATGCGAGCCTGAGACGTCAAGGGGCTTTCTGAAGGAAGACAAGGAGATTAGCACCATGCGCTGTGTAAGCAAATGCTGATTTGTCATCCTCTTAATCTTTACTGTCTATAAGGGAAAATCAATCAGTCACACCTCTTACAGGCATAAGAGTACTTAACAAAGGTGACCAATGAAAAAAGAAAATGATATATATTTTACTCCTTACACATACTGCTTAAAATGACTAATTAAATTTGGCTGCTGTATGGGAGACCTCACCAGTGTCAGTGTGTTTCAAACTGTAATCAACATGGCTCAAACTATTCCCTGTTCAGTCTTTATTTATTGTGCCTTTCCATTAATACAAACTTTACTAACACCACTGAAGAAGAAATATTACTACAGTGGTCCACAACTGCTGCTTAATTATAGTCATTGACTGGTTAACTTGTTGCTACATAGGGACCATTCTGCTTTGTATTCTGCATAAGTGACATTTTGTAGTGTTACATAACATTTTGCGGGTGTCTCCTGTGTATAATACATATCTAATATTAACATTAAATAATATTACCAAAAAAAAAGTTACAAGCAAAGATGCGATATCTTGGTTATTGTCAATCTGGTGATGCCAGCTATCATGTCAGCTGCTGCCCACAGTGCTGACTTAAGGTTTCAGAAGTTGACTAGGCCTAGTAGTTAACAAGTGAACTAATCAACAATACACAAAACATTGCAATATGGAGTACTTGTCACACTCCTAGTACACGTATGTTCCCCAGCTTCCTGTTGACAGTGTAGTGGGGTTAACAGTGCACTCTTAAGACATTCCCTCTGTGCCATATTGGCCCTGTCAGTGAACACTAATGACTTGAGGAGAGTACAGCCACCCCAAATCAGCAAAGTAGCTTAACCTTCCCTGAAATGTGGTCTCCTCCTTGAAAGGGGGGGATCACGGAAGGGGGTGATGAGAAGAAAAACAATTAGTGCAGAGATTGAAAGAGCACCAACAAGTTGACCCTTAATTCCATTCTTCTGCCATATGGTGACTGCTCTCTGGAGCCTCCGTCTGCCTAATTAGGAACCCAAGTGCATTTACTGTTATTGCAAGTGCACAAATCTTGGAATGTTCATGTTTCACTTCACTTCTCAGACAGAAATGTCAGAAACACCAACACCTGTGCTTGTTATTTTCTGTACAAGTCTACAAGTTCAGTGATGGCAGTGGTCATTATTGCATGTAGCTAATGACATCTAGTTCAGCTCTGTAATCAGATCAAATGTAGCAAAGACACTAAAGATACTAATGTGACTATCTGCCGTGTCCGCAGAATGATTTCTGTAATCCTTATTAAGTCACTCTTGATTTTCAGAAAACAATGTAGCATTGAAAACAGAGCTCTTTCTGGTGTGTAAAAGGATTACAAACTTGGCTATGCACATGGAGCCATTTGAACTCAGAAGCTGCTGTCTGAATCAGTTCATAATCCTGAAACAGGGAGGAAACTGTTTATATTCGGGGTCTCAAAGCCTCCAATAGCTGCAGTGGTGCAGGTGCAGGCATGTTAACATAGTATGCAGTGAATCTGCTTTTCATTATGCACCTCAGTAACACAGTATGACAGTGGAAAAATTGATTCATTGTGTTTGTACATTTTGTTTAAAGTTGTTGTAATGCTCTTCTTTGTGTTAAGTAAAGCGCTTTAAATTGTTTCACATCATTATTATGTAAAACACTGTGTTTTATTGGTGCTATACAAACTAGGTGCTATACAAACCCAATACCAACAGGTCTGGTAGCTTAGCCTACAGCACCTTGTATACAGACTTCATGTAAATCCATTTAAAATAGTTAAACAGAGTTAAAATAGTGCAAACCTGGCATCAGTGTGTCTCAAATGCTCCTTTAATAGCTATTTGTGATCCCATTTCACTTTGACATAATAAACAGTTTGGGAAGTTAGTAGACAGCAACTTGACTAGATGGTCCACAGCACATGTGCATTCACACTACATTGGTTGCAGTATAAATTTACACTCAAATCACCATCTAAACCTACTTTGTGAGTAAGCCTAAATTACATACTGACCTAAGCAGTACTGGTAATCTGGAATCAGATTACATAACACAGGTGTTACTCACATGTCAGGGGTGAGCTGATTATCTTGGTCTTCAGAGTAGCAGACAAGAAATGTACATGTAAGCTGAATGCTAAAAGGTTATGTTTCAAATGTGAAAGTTTGTGAAACCGTATCTGTATGCTGATGACACAGTTTTATATTGTTCCGCAACATCTGCACAATCAGCCATTGAATGTCTACAGTCGCCTTTTGATTCCCTCCAATTTAGGTTTCACAACCATAAATTAGTACTTAACTCAGGCGAAACCAAATGGATGCTGTTCACCAAGGCTACTCATTCTGAATCTTTCGATAGTCATTCTGCAAATGGCACATCCATAGAGAGTCGAACAGTATGAATACCTTGACGACAATCTTAATTTTAAGCACCATATTAAAATTCTGACTGCCAAACTGAAGACAATACTTGGCTTTCTCTACATCAATAAGAACTGTTTTTCTTTTATACGCAGGAAAAGAATTGTAGAATCTGTATTTTTAGGGAGAAGCTGCTGCCTCTACACTGAAATCACTGGACGTTGTCTACCACTCGGCCTTAAGGTTCATAGCAGGTGATTACAGCACCCGTCACTGCCACCTTTACAGAAGGGTTGACTGGCCACATTTGGCTGTGAGGGCGGGGACAGCATTGGTATTTGTTCATTTATGAAGCTTTAATGCAGATGTTTCCACCCTATATTTTACCCCTTTTAACTGTGACCTCACATACTCTTTGTACTCTTTCACAGAATAGGTTGTTGCTTCACATTCCCTTAGTCAGAACTGAACTAGGAAGAATACCAGTCCCTTACTGTGCTCCTTATACATGGAATAATCTGCAAAAGACCATAAACTCGGACACTCTGCCACACTTACGGCTGTTTAAATGCCTAACTTTAAGCTGATATGATATATGTCCCCTAAATGAGTTACACATAATCAAAGCATAACTTTAAAGATATTAGTCCTTTCTGTCTTTTCTTGGGTCTCCAGTTGTTGGCACGGGTAAGATGCTGCTGCCATCTGCAAAGTGCTGCTTTAAGGTTTTTATCAGGCAGGGATAACTGTCACGTTTCCTCACCCCTCAGCCCTGTGATTGTTGTGCCGATGCAGCCAATCTTTAGCAGCCCGCTGCCATGAGCCAACTGGACGATTATGTATTTAGCGGGAGCATTTATGATGACAGAGCCCGGCAGGTGATTGAACCCACGTCACTAGTAAAACCCCAGATCTTTTGCCTGGCAGATCAGACAGATAGGCTGTTCATTCACTAAAGAGTGATGTCACCTTTCTGCATATAAGTTTCAAATACTTGTGCTTTTTGCTGTAGGAAGTTGCAGTGCATCAAACTTTTGAGGCACATGCACTGCAGCAGGCACACATGCAAGACATATTTTTGTTGTCCTTCAGAGGATGTCCTTGAATGCTCGTTCACAAATCTTTGTATCAGACTAAGCAGCTTTTTGTATAATCCTTGGATGACAGCTATTGTCAAAGAGTGAGATTAACTTTTAAAGTTTTCGGCGTCCTCTGTGTGCACATGGAGCAGTTTCCTTAAGTGGCCAAAACGTATGTCATAATTCTTTATGGTCTTTTTTTTTAAATAAAGTTGAGTTTAGTTTTGTTTAACAGTTTAGTATTAGTGGGTTTTCTTATATTCTTTTGTTTGAGCACTGTAAATAGAGCCCTTTTAGGCAGTTTAAGTAAGAGTGAGAAGCCATTTTTGTTTTTGCCTAGGCCTAACTGAATCAACTTTTATGATGATACAGTTTATAATTTGACAAAATTCTCATCAAAATAAACCTAAAAAATGTTTTATTTTACAAACCAAAAATGGTAACTTCCACATTTCTAATGAATAAAGACATTTAAATGTACTGGCAGAATAATCTCATGCCTGCTCTGTTATAACAGCATAAGCTTCTGTTACACTGCACTCAGCATGTCTACCTGATTGCAAGTAGTTGCATGGTTAAGCTTTGGTAAATTCACTTCAGCAATTCTTATGGTCACCCCCAAGTCAGATGAAGTGGAAGGATTGAGGTGTCAGCACTATGGCTACCAGGGATCGCCCCGCCTTGCCATCTGCTGCCACTACTGTAATCCACACAATGAGAAAATCAGTTGTCTCAGTCCGTATCAAAGTCATGTCAGCTCAATTCAACAGGCAAATCAACATCTGTGAGACTGTGAAATCCATGTTGTTGCTGACATAGGAAGTGAGAGGCTTATTTGGTCATGTCCTCTTAATAAAGCTCATACTCTTTGGTATATATGAAACATAAAACATTCAGAATAAATTAACAAGAACTTGAAATTATTTACTTTTCTTATAGTTCATTGGATATTTTTTTCCTACCATTATCTATATACTTGTTTTTTTTTCATGTTGGCTTATGATATTCCCAATAAATATTAAAATGAGAGCTTAACATGCTCTAAATCTATACTCAGGCAAATTTTAAATGTGAAATAATGTATCATATTCAATAGTCTATTCTCAGAAATACCAAGTTAATAAAGTTGAACCAGCTCCACAATGTAAAAGCTAGCATCCCCTAGAGGTCATGTAAAAAAAAACTGGGCTGTATGTGCCCCCGAACTAAAATGAGTTTGACAACCCTGGCCTACACTGAACAAAAATAAAATATTTCCATATCTAAATGCATTTGCTCATTTATAGAAGTAACAGGAAGATAGAAACAGGTTCCTCTCAGTTTGGTGTGAGGGACCTGTCTGTCACAAATTAAGACACACTAAAACCTTTCTGGTAATTTGATTTCAGTGGTGATGGCAGTGGCAGAACATTGGGGGTACCCTGGGAAGTCCCACATTTGGTCTCTAGAGGGAGACAAACACCCTTCAACTGTGTCATAAAACTGAGCTCACAACTCACAGGCTTGAGTAACAGATCACAGTTGAGTAAATCCACAGCTGATGAGTCAGAGATGCTGTGCGTCACACTGGAACATTTATACAGTTGGCTTCATATGCAATACCTAGGCAGGCAGTAACTATGATATGAATTGGTGTATTTATTGGGGAGATCACATCCACAATTTCAAAATATGTTTAAAATGTCCCACCAAATACAGTACAGGCCAAAAGTTTGGACACACCTTCTCATTCAATGCGTTTTCTTTATTTTCATGACTATTTACATTGTAGATTCTCACTGAAGGCATCAAAACTATGAATGAACACATGTGGAGTTATGTACTTAACAAAAAAAGGTGAAATAACTGAAAACATGTTTTATATTCTAGTTTCTTCAAAATAGCCACCCTTTGCTCTGATTACTGCTTTGCACACTCTTGGCATTCTCTCCATGAGCTTCAAGAGGTAGTCACCTGAAATGGTTTTCCAACAGTCTTGAAGGAGTTCCCAGAGGTGTTTAGCACTTGTTGGCCCCTTTGCCTTCACTCTGCGGTCCAGCTCACCCCAAACCATCTCGATTGGGTTCAGGTCCGGTGACTGTGGAGGCCAGGTCATCTGCCGCAGCACTCCATCACTCTCCTTCTTGGTCAAATAGCCCTTACACAGCCTGGAGGTGTGTTTGGGGTCATTGTCCTGTTGAAAAATAAATGATCGTCCAACTAAACGCAAACCGGATGGGATGGCATGTCGCTGCAGGATGCTGTGGTAGCCATGCTGGTTCAGTGTGCCTTCAATTTTGAATAAATCCCCAACAGTGTCACCAGCAAAACACCCCCACACCATCACACCTCCTCCTCCATGCTTCACAGTGGGAACCAGGCATGTGGAATCCATCCGTTCACCTTTTCTGCGTCTCACAAAGACACGGCGGTTGGAACCAAAGATCTCAAATTTGGACTCATCAGACCAAAGCACAGATTTCCACTGGTCTAATGTCCATTCCTTGTGTTTCTTGGCCCAAACAAATCTCTTCTGCTTGTTGCCTCTCCTTAGCAGTGGTTTCCTAGCAGCTATTTGACCATGAAGGCCTGATTCGCGCAGTCTCCTCTTAACAGTTGTTCTAGAGATGGGTCTGCTGCTAGAACTCTGTGTGGCATTCATCTGGTCTCTGATCTGAGCTGCTGTTAACTTGCCATTTCTGAGGCTGGTGACTCGGATGAACTTATCCTCAGAAGCAGAGGTGACTCTTGGTCTTCCTTTCCTGGGTCGGTCCTCATGTGTGCCAGTTTCATTGTAGCGCTTGATGGTTTTTGCGACTCCACTTGGGGACACATTTAAAGTTTTTGCAATTTTCCGGACTGACTGACCTTCATTTCTTAAAGTAATGATGGCCACTTGTTTTTCTTTAGTTAGCTGATTGGTTCTTGCCATAATATGAATTTTAACAGTTGTCCAATAGGGCTGTCGGTTGTGTATTAACCTGACTTCTGCACAACACAACTGATGGTCCCAACCCCATTGATAAAGCAAGAAATTCCACTAATTAACCCTGATAAGGCACACCTGTGAAGTGGAAACCATTTCAGGTGACTACCTCTTGAAGCTCATGGAGAGAATGCCAAGAGTGTGCAAAGCAGTAATCAGAGCAAAGGGTGGCTATTTTGAAGAAACTAGAATATAAAACATGTTTTCAGTTATTTCACCTTTTTTTGTTAAGTACATAACTCCACATGTGTTCAGTCATAGTTTTGATGCCTTCAGTGAGAATCTACAATGTAAATAGTCATGAAAATAAAGAAAACGCATTGAATGAGAAGGTGTGTCCAAACTTTTGGCCTGTACTGTATATTGATGAAGAAATATACACTTTAAGAAAGCACTATGCTACAACAGGCAACTACACACCACCTTGAGAAATAATCATCAGAAAATGTGATTGCAACCATAAATAAACTTCTCAAATGGCTGTTTGACACCTGCAAGCCATGGAAGAAGGTCTCTCCTGTGCTATCTTCCCAGGGAACACTCCAATTTCACCTCAGTGATAATGTTTCTGAAAGTTTTTTCCTGTCCACTGGAGAGAGGTGTCTCATTTGGCTCTCTCAGTTTTATTTTTACTCTAATAATTTCTCTTGTTTTCACTGTAGGAACACCTGCACATCTTGGAAGAAGGTCTCTCTTGCACTGTCTTTCCAGGGAACCCTCCAAGTTGACCTCATGGACAGTGTTTGAAAGATGTCCCCTGTTCACTGGAGAGAGGCGTCTCTATAGGCTCTTTCAAATAATTTTTTATTGTTATAATTTGTTATTTTCATTGAAAAGACACCTGCATGCATTGGAAAAAGGTCTCTCCTGTGCTCTCTTCCCAGGGAATACTCCAGTTTTACCTTACTGAGGGTGTCATGGAAAGTTGTTCCCTGTCCACTGGAGAGAGGCATCTCAATTAGCTTTTTTAACCTGGCATCTGGATATTGCTTTACATCTTGCGCTTTTATTTTTCCCAAAGTGTTTTCCTATTTTCTGACACTTAACTTTTTGCACTTAATAATAATTATTACTGGTCTATTATATAAGTGTTTCTAAATTTCAGTTTTACTACTGTAAAACTTGATTGTACATATGGCACCTGTCCATCCTGCAGAAGGTATTTTCCATCTGTCCTCCTGAGCTTTACACAGTTTTTCCCCGACAAAAGGTTTTTCTGCAGAGTTCCTTTTTTGTGCCAAATTTGTGATAATATGAGAGTCACTACTATTTTTGTTAGCATTTGGATTATACTGACAACCTGCCTGATTAAATCATGTGTAGGGACAAATTTTAGTGTTAATTTCCTCTAAGTGAGAATTTTCTACTGTTCCAAGTGTTGCAGGAAAAGCTTTTCAGAAGAAGAAAAACCTGTGACAATGTCTGCACACCAACAATATTTTATTACGTTCCAGCGCAAGACCACAACCTACAGCATACTGGCAGTTTAAAATTGCATTTTATATTTTGCAGTCATCAAGTACAATTTAACATGGCATTACAATGCAACACGTTGGGTTCTTCCAAACAAGATTTTTGTTAACATTTCTATATTTTGACTGCTGAATATGCAAATCTAAAATAAAAAAATTACTCAAATGATTATTACAAAAAATAAAATTAGAAAATATAATAAGATCCCTGAGAAAGCATTTTAATGTGTATAATTTACTTTAAAAGAAGGCAACAATGAACTGAATTAGTTCAAATATTCTCCAGAAAAACCTTGAAATCCAACATCCATCCAACATCTTCAAAGACCTTGGTACTCATGTTTGCAGTGTCCAACATACAGAGGCTCTGCTTGGATGCCACGCCTTGAGAAGAAACAGAAACATTAGTATAACATAATAACGCAAACATAATGAGAAAGAACGCTGTGTCTTGTTAAGTTATGCCTGCAATATAAGCTCTTTACAGTACCTCACGAGCTTGCAGCGAAATTCCTGCAAGCGAGGAAAGGCCTTGTCCACACTGGAGGTCTGCTTCTCATCACTCCACAGTCTCTCTGCTGCAGCACTTGCCCTTGGCCTGTGATTTTGGGTACAACCAGTGATTATTTGGATTGATTTTATGCAACTGTTATTGCACTTTTTTTAGTAATGTTATTAGCTTTATGATTTCAGCTCTCTCTTTAATCTCATACCAAAGACGTGGAGTGAGATTGGTGGCATCGACATACTCTCCCCACATGCAGACCTCACCCCCTATCACCAGCTTCTTCTGTTCCTCAGATCCTGTGGAGGTATGATGAAAAGCTTTGCTTTAATAACATGATGGGTTTTAATTAAAGATAGGCTAGGCTGGTAATAAGTTTGCTATCAATCAACATCCTCACTTCAACATTATCACACCACTTCAAGTCAAAACTTAGCAAGTCGGTATTTAAAAAGGCTTCTACATGCTCCCGTCACCAGCACAAAACTGAGCCAGATTAATATATTATATTATAATGTGATATTACTTGACCATGCACACACCAGAAAAGTTCAGTGGCTGCACGGTGTAGTAGTCGCGCCAGTCTTGGCCATACGAAATGTGGTTGATGTACCACGGGGCAGCTAGCAGGACCCTCATGCCAGCTTTGGTCATCTTGCTGAGCTCCTCGTAATAACTAGCTGGGGTGCCCTTCCAGATGTGCAGCACTGTGTCCTTGGGAATCTGAGCAGGGTGACAAACAACTGCAACTGACCTGTCTGCCTGCTGTATCTTGATATTGAATAATCTGTTTACATATGATGTTTTACATTTAAACAACATAAAAACCCCTTAATGAGCTTTTATCAATAAGGACAATCTTTTACTAAGACATGATTGAAATAATTTGTACCTCTCCAATGGGGCAAAGCATCTTTTACTTATCAGAGAGCTGCAAACATTTCTTAAACCAGCAGAAATACCCCAAATTACAATTATTTAGCTGGATTATTTAGTAATGCACCATGATGACACATGCTTTATTGGTTTATATCTGAATTTAAAACAACTCTGGTCTGCTTTTGATAGACTGATATCTGTTCTGCGCATTTGCTTTCTTAATTTGATGCAGAGAGCTTTATGAAATAATTGGCAGTGGCTACATGATAAACTTCTGTGTTTAGTGGGAGAGTGTGCATGTTAGCCACGGGGCATCAGACAGTATTGTGAGCATGTACCACAGCAATCACACCTCTCTGTAGCTGTGTCCCAAGTCCATACTGCATACTTTCTCAATCTTTTCTACTTGTGTTTGTAGTGTTTTCACACTGGAAAAGTGATTAAAAAGTAAACTGATTTCAAGGCCATGAAAATTTCTGTACAGTGCACTCTGTATACAATTTGTAAATCATATGGAATTAGGACACACAACTGCATGTCTCTGCATGGACAACAGTCTTTACTGCCACCTAGTGGTAAGACTGCAAATCAAACATTCTGTGCTGCACTCACACTCAACAAGGCTTGGCTGTTGTTACATCCCATATCCTCCTGAGACCTGAACTTTTGTTTGGTATGCATTTTCAATTTCCCCTAGCTATTTGGGATCAGTAGGACCTGTTAAATATGGAAAACTAAACACTGTCAATGGTAATAAATTCCCAGTGACCTCAAATGAGACGTGATAAAGTCCCAATGTCCCCAAACAAGATGACAATAAAGTCCCAATGTCCTCAAACAAGATGACAATAAAGTCCCAATGTCCCCAAACAAGATGACAATAATAGTAAAGTCCCAGTGACCTCAAATGAGATGACAATAAAGTCCCAATGTCCTCAAACACAATAATAATAAAGTCCAAATGTCCTCAAACAAGATGCCAATACAGTCCCAATTTTCTCAAACGAGACTACATCCCATTGTCCTCAAATGAGACGATAATAAAGTCCCAGTGTCCTCAAACAAGATGACGATAAAGTCCCAGCATCTTCAAATGAGTACTTCCTAATTAACAGTGTCTTAGCTTGTTACTGTCGCTAAAATCAACAATAAAATGTGATCAGGTTTTGTACCTTGTCCACTTTTGTGTCAGGATCAGCTGTAGACTGACTTGGCAGAAATGGCTGCCATCTTGTTTTTATATGGATTAATGTATTATGCTGTTACTACCACTAGATGACACAAGAAAAGGTGTCCACAAACGAAGACAACAGGTCTAAGTTCAGCAGAGTGAAGTAAAAGGTGTAGTAAATGCAAAATGTGATGTCCTCATATGAGGACACATGGTCTCAGGAGGATATTTTATAGGAAACCAAGCTTTACCTATAGAGACAAAAACCACAGCAGACAGTACAACTTCAACAAGCCACAGCACACAGGTTCTCTTCTGACCCTTGAAGGCAAGGGGCCACACAGTGTAGTAGCGGGCCCAGTTGTGTGTGGGCCCTGGCTTGTCCAGATACCACGGAGAGGCCAGAATCACCCTGAGCCCTGCTTTAGTCACCCTGCGCACTTCACACAGGTAACAACCATCTCTCCATACCTCCACCACTGACAAAGAGCTGCGCTGCAACACAGTGCTATGGATTATTAGACTTACATGAACTGGTCATGTGATACATTAGCTTGTCTTTATCAGACAATACACTGTTAAAAATTGGTTGGCTGGTTCAAATCATATAACCTGCTGAGGTCAACATTAGTTATCTGTAAAAAACATATTAGGTTAGAGTACATGGATGCCTGCATAAGCGTTTATTCTAAATTATTATAATAGGGTAATTGTATAACTAGCCTGTATATACTAAAAAGAGTAGATTTCTCTTGTTAAACATAAAAAAAATATATCAATAACAAAGATGTTAAAAATATGATGAAATATATGCTACATGTTTTACATATTGGAGTTTAAATATCTCCTTCAGTGAATGCAGATATTTGGACACAATATAAAATAGCTGATATAATATTCAAAAAATAAATGATGACAAAAATTAATGCCTGTTTTAGATGCCTGAATCTGTACTTAGCGATACTACACAACAGTTCAGTGATGTAGACTGCAGTGAAATGAAAAATGTTTGCATTTCAAATTTTGATATTTGCTAATATGTAAATTACTTCCTATCTGTAAAAGTTAGTATCAGGCATGCCTGCACTTACATAATCATGTTTAGAATCATGTTTTAAACAATGACTAAAACAGTGGTTCCCAACTGGTCCAGCCATGGGGTCCAGATTACATTTCTCCTTAGTCATTAGTTCAAGGTCCACACAGTTTAATATATTCAGCATCATACTTGATTTTGGAGGTAGTTTGCTGTCTCTGTCAAGTAGCTGTCTGTTATTCACTTACTCTACAGCAGGAAACGGCACTCCAAAGTAATAGTTCACTGTAAATTCACTGTACTTAAAGTGTGTTTTTTTGTTGTTGTTTTTTTTTACAAATTTGACATGTTTGTGAGTCACTTGCAGTCCATTCAGAATGTACCCACGACCCACTTTAAAACCGCAACCCACCAGTTGGGAACCACTGGTCTAAAAAGTATGTAGGCAGATATGAACCACACTGGATAAAAATAGTTTTACAGGCTTTCATACAGGTGTTACTTATTGTACTTACTTGTTCATGGTAATCAAACACATCCTGCCACACAATAGACGTCTTGTTGAGAGCCAAAGTGATATTCATAATGCTGGAAATAGAGACGTTAATGTTACATTTACATGTTGGTTGGTGTATTTCCAAAAGCTTTCTTCACTATATAGCCTCGTTTCCACCTAGCAGTACAGTATGGTTCAGTTCGGTACGCTTTTTCTCCGTTTACACTGTGAAAAATTGTGGATGGTACCAATGGAACCATTCCCCATTTTTGGTCAGCCCTCTGTTGGGGTACATAGCACACAGATCTGGTAATAAAAGGTGAAGCTGTGAACACTGCAGTCCGTTGACTGGTCGATAGCAGACGGCCACTCTGCTCAGGGCTGAGTTGTGGCTGGTTTTGAAGCTTATGTAACCACTGTTCATACTGTAGAGAGTTTTATTAGACTGTAACTATAAAATGAAAGGATGTTTTGCTGCCTCTCACAGCAGCTGGAGTTGTACAAAAATAACTTAATTCACAGGGCCGACTTCCAGCAATTTCTAAGGTGGAACGTTAAATTGTTACGTTACTCAATGTATGAGTTGACTTTTAAATATCCCATGGAGAGAGCCTCTCACTGCAGCCTGTTCTATTTTGTTTTGAAAATGTTGGCGTGCAGTCTCGTTCTGTGGACGATAAACGAGGTGCAGACTGATAAAGGAGGAAATACAGTGAGTGCTGGACGGAGCAGTGAATGACAACAACCCCGCCCACACTTAAGAGTACTGTTTGCGGTGGAAACACTAAGCAAACCTAGGGTCTAGGTACCATGTCTGAAGGGTTACTTTTGTTTCCACAGGTACCATACCGCAAGTGTTTGGTGGAAACAGGGCTTAGACTCCCCTTTACAACCTACTTCTCCATGTAGAAAGCTTCCAGTTTGGTGAAGTCTGCTCCGAATCCCATCTTTTGCATGAACGCTCGGACATCAGGGTTGGATTTCCTGTGGAAACAAGCAGTAGGAGTCTTTTCCTTGTTTGTAATCTCAAAAGGCATCCTTACATCAACTACCTGGGAAAAAAAATATAAATATTTTCTTTCTTTTCTTTTTTTCTGAACAGCTGAAAACACATGTACAGCTATGAGTAAAAATTCAATAACAGTGTAAACAAACAATTGAGTAAAACCATGTCAAAAATAGTCAGCAATAATTTATATGAGTCACCACATTTCAACATACCAGCAGGCAAAGTTCACCTCATCCCCTCCTAAGTGGATATAGGAGTCAGGAAAGACCGATGACACTTCCTTAAATAGTCTTCCCATGAACTTGTAGGTGGAGGGTAACACTGGATTAACAGGACCAAAAGTACCTGAAGGGGTGCTCCCACTGTAGCAGGGAGTCAACAGGTCAGACTGCCCTGGGGAATAAATGGTAATAAATCAGATTTAGTTTAAGATTTTGTTTAAATACATTTCTGGGATTATGTGTTGAGTGCAAACATTTGTTACCACTGATGTAGACATAACAGTCCTCCAGATAAGCAGGGAGTCAAACTCAAGATTCAGTACATGTCTTATTGCCATTTATAGTCTTACAGGCTTGCAGGTTTGGCAGACAAGGTTCCTGTTAGCCCAAACCAGGCATAAAGCCAGGTACTTTTAATGGTGAAGATCAAGGAGCTGGAATCATGTGGGAAAAAAACTTGTATTATTAAATTTTACCTTTTCCCCAAGATAAGGTGTGGCCGGGCGAATCAAACTCAGGAAGGACCCTTATTCCCCACAGCCTGGCATGTGAGATCACCCTTCTCACATCTGACTGCGTGTAGATGTGAGTCATCGGATGGAAAGCCCCCTGAATCAGAGCCAGAAGCCTTTGTTCAGGGTGGATGTAACTTTTCCGAACTTTCCTACCTCATGGAGCCACATGCAGTAGGCTCAGTTAAAAAATCTAGGATAGTGTACAACAACCATGTTTCATCTTCTTAAGTGCATTTTCGAATTATATTGAATGTGCAGAGTCACTTGAAGTGAGATCCTTTCTCAGCTCTTCATCCACATGACATACCTTACTGGAAAGGTCTGGATAGGTGCTGCTCTGGTAAGGGAAGGAGGGGTCGTCAACAATGTGCCAGTGAAACACATTGAACTTACTGTAGGCCATTGCATCCTAACAAGAAAGATATACATTATTACCACTGATGACAAGAGTGATCAATGAAACAGAAGGCTGATGTCCAGGTTGTGTCATCTGATTATTACCAGAGTTTTTAAAATGGCCTTCACTGGTAAATAATGACGTGAAGTGTCCAATAAAATCCCCCTGAACTGGAACCGGGGGAAGTCGTCAATCTCAGTCTTGTTGACAAAATACTAAAAGAGGAAACAAGGGGGAAACAACTTTGAATTCCTCCACCACAAACATTAATCAAGCTCTTAAGAAGGTGAGATTGTGTATTCGAGATGTGATGACCTTAGAGGCCTAATGAGTTTAAGCATTTTAAAATCCGGACTTACTGTGCCAAAATCATCTTCATACACCAGCTGACTAAAGGTTTCCAGACCTGTGCTTAATCAGAGGACGTATAATCAGCAATCAGATCAGTCATTACATATTTGGTTGCATTAGGTATCTTGTGCAACTTCTTCAAAAGGCTTTGATGGAGACTACAGCTCTTCCCTTTTAGTTGATTGTTGACAAGTCTGTTTATTTTTCAGAGTATATTTCACAAATATAATGGCTATAATCACCTCTTAGGGCACCCCACACCGTTTGTGCATTCAGAGATGCTTGTCCTGCACAGACACTCAGATTGTCTGGAACACAAATAGGAGTGAATTAGATAATTCATTGGACTTGAGCAGTGCCAATGTGCCCTCTAAACCTGTGGTTCTCTAGTTCTTAAATGTGTGGTACTTACATCTCTCAGAGGAGTCTTCATTTGGGTAACCCTCACAATCATCACGGTCAACACTGACCTCAATGATAAATGGTTTCCCCTCACTGAATCGCAGGACACCATTTCCTATTGGTCATAAAAGTGAAAATATTACAGTCACGAGTTGCTGGGTTAAAGTTTAGTAGAGGTGCAAGCACTGCCTGTGGACTTCCATTTTGACAACGTTACACTCAAGCTGCCATTATTCTATAAGCTATGGTATGTTTGAAAACACAAACATGAAGCTGTGTTACTCTGGTCCATTGTGATTGTGGGTTGTTAGAGTAGGCAGGCCTACACTGACTGATGAACTGCTGTCTCTACAAAGCCCATTGATCTTCTTTAAAAGCCAACCTGACAAACAGAACATTCAAAACAAAACCAGTGGGCACTTTGCTCTACATATTAAGCATCCATAATGCAGTCTTATTATGTAAATCAACAGTTCATATAGGCTACTGTTAATTCTGACACTAGAATTTAAAGAGACAGGATTTACATATATTTAATTACATTGTAGCCTATGTGTTTTAGTACACATAGCACGGTGAATTCTGATCCTAGGAAATTGTGAAATACAGTGGTGTCAAAATAAATCAAATTATTTAAGTATCATAGAAGTACTTATTTACTAGCCTATTTTAATGGTATGACTGGACCTTTCAGATCCAGCAAGGACTAAGATCTTACTTTCGTTTTAGCTCAGTCTTTAGTTCACCTCCCTTTTGTCACCTACCAGAAGTGTAGTCTGGAAAAATAAGAGAAAAGTATCTCTTGAAAGCAGCATCCAGAACAGAACAGCCCTGCTGTGCAGCTGATTGACTTCCGTACACAAAGTAGAGAGCCTGAGGGCTCAGAGGGTACCGCTCGGCTGAGGAGGTGAAAGTCTGCGGCAATGGCCACACTCCGTCTACTGTGTGCAGGCCGAACTGGAGGATAATTAGCAGTAGCAAATTAAAATGTGGACGAGTGTATCGTCCACAACTAACCATGCACATGACCTCCATGACAGTTTGTGATACGTCTACATTCAAAGGCAAACTGCACTGTCAAGCTGCGGCAGTCAGGTGCTCAAGAGCATGCAGTCACATGACTAGAGCCACAAAGTGTGAGTGTATTTTGTTTGTGTGTTTTGAATCCTAATGTAACAGTTTGTCTGTGTTGTGATTTTATGCGATTTTTATTATTAATAGCGACATAGCTTTTCTACGATAAATGACGTCATTCCAGTTGGAGTGATGTGAAGACTGAAATAAATGTAAACTAAAAGTGTGAGACAAAGCATAGTTTAGCCTGAGGTGGACTACAAAAATAAAGATGGCATATACTGGCTAATAAAATATGACAAATTCAAAAACACAATGAAAAGCATTAGGCAAGGAATGAATAATATAGTATTTTTTAAAAAATGATTTAAAATATTTTTTCCAGCAGTTGGCCTGGTCTACATTTTATTACAGGGACGTGTTAACTTGATAACCTTAACAGCGATTGTTTAAATCGGGCGTGTAATAAATATTTTTTGTATATTTTAAAATGTGTTTTTAAATATAGTTACATTAAAACAAAGGTGTGTCGTCTAAATACAAATGTTTTTTGACATTTTCCTGTACAGTCCATCTGACGTAAGGCCGTCGTCAGTTGGTGACGCTGTGTCTCTTTGTTGGCTTAGCAGCGGCGACGTTTTGTTGTTATTTTCGCTGCAGCTGAAAAACAGGCTCGGATAATTTTGGTTTTCGTATTGTTCCGCAATCAACATTTCACACACTGTAGACTTAGGTGTGCTTGTCACAAGTTGATAACCACCCTAGGAATGGACTCAGACGAGGGTTATAACTATGAATACGACGACGAAGAGGAGGAATGTAGCGAGGATAGCGCCGAAGAGGAGCCGGAGGACGACACCCTGGAGCTCGGAGAGGTGGAGTTGGTCGATCCCGTGGTGGCCGGTGGAGAGCGAGACGAGTGCGGCGAGACTGGTGGAGGTGGCCACGGTCCCGGCGAGGAGGAGGAGGAGGACTACCGCTTCGAGGTTTTGACTGCCGAGCAGATCCTCCAGCATATGGTGGAGTGTATCAGGGAGGTCAACGAGGTCATCCAGGTAGGTATTCTGGTATGTCGGCGTCAGGAAAGACCGGGGTCCAGGCTTGGGTGAAGCATAAACAGGCCCTGGACGTTAGCTTAGCCGTTAGCATTGTAAGGAGTAGTTTACTTGCTGGAAGTTGGCACTTTGACAACAGCGCTCCGATTTCCACAATACTAAAATGATTTTTTTTCTCAATGTAGCTCTCCTTTGTGTGGGTGTCGCTTAAATGACGATATGGACAACGTTTAATGTGTACATTTAAATATCAATTTTCGTACGAATTGTGTGCCAGGAAGTAGTCTAATCCCATTGAGAAGTTGGCTGTAGCTATTGCTAAGCTAATGTTAGCTTGCAAGTTAGCTAGCTTGCTAACTAGCCAACTGTAACCGTTAACCCAACACATTATTGGAAAAGCATAATGTCTCTAGTGTTGAATTACTGCCAGCTCCCACGAGACGACAGTTGGAGGTTTTTAACCAGACAATTTAAACTTAACGTTATAAAATTTGTAAAGTAACATAATCGTTGACGTTATTTTTATGTTGGACGAAAGGCTTGGTCATCGAGTTGGTTAGCAAGTTACGGTAAAACGTTAGGTTATTTACGTTAACGTTAACGAGGAATTTAATCGTGACTTCCAAAAAAGTTTGGATGGATTACACGAGCGAACGTTGTAATCTGGCAACGGCTATATTTTAAATTAGATATAAGGGGAAACTCAGTGGAGCCCTTCGGTTTAGCGTTATCTTGGGCCTCCATTTCCTTTCACTTAGCTACACTTGGGTACGGAATAAAATGGAAAGTGGTCTTGATAGACCTGCCAGTATTACGTTTTTGAGAAATACCGTTGTATTTTATGCAACAAAAAGTTTCTGAGTATTATTATTTCACTTCAAACAAACCCATAACCTCAAGTAGGTAAAATACCAGTACAGTGGATACAGTACAGCCGCATGGCAGTTATTAACAGCAGAGACTGATACGGTGATTCTTCTAAAAATAGTATTTAGATCTACCTACTTATTTTTTTGTTTTTTGGCACCACCAGCAAATAACTTTTATAGTTAAATAGCCATATATTTTTTTCTGAATTTAAGATTACAGTGGGAAGTATGTCACAGTAGGATAGTTAACTACTTGAACTTACTTTTCTTCTAAATGTCTTAAGTGACTTTGCTTACACATGTAAAGAGTGAATGGGTTTTTGCCTGGCCTCTGACGACACTTTAGGGGTAAAGTTATGGATGTATTTCATCTGTAGAGACCTTGTTGTAGAGACTCCACTGCAAACTTCAGATTAACATAACAGGCAAAACTTTCATAACAATTGTCGATGACAATACTAAGAGTAATTGCTAATCCTCCCCACCTTAGTTATATCAGTATGAGTAGACAAACTATAAGGAACTCTCATCAGAAGTACAGTTCAACAGTGCCACAGACTACAGCCTGTAAAACAAGAATAAAACAAAACAACTTCTCTCTCAACATTATTTTAATCTTAATAAAGGTAGCATTAATTGCTGTGCAGTTGTATTGGACTGAATAAGCTTGAGCTTTGTGTACCTGATAAACTAGGAACTACTTTATTTTGTCATATGATATTGATACATTGGTACCATCGTGGTGATATTTTCTTGATGTATTCAGCTTGAATTGCACATTAATAACATGCAGTAATATTAAGATATTTTTGGACATTTTTCATGCTTTATTGATAGAAAGTAGACCGATATGAAAGGGGAGAGAGAGGGGACTACCTGCAGCTAAGAGTCCTGGGCTGTACTTGAACCCAGGCCATTGCAAAAAGGACTCAGCCTAAATGGTATGTGCTCTATGTGGTGAGCTACCGGGGTTCCCCTAAATACAGATGTTTATATTCAGGAAGCGTTATGCTTTGCGGTTGATAAGCCTTCCACCTGCTTATGTCTGTTTGACATTTAGCTGATAGCAGACATGTACGGGTGAGTGTATGAATCTTTAATAAATGTTTGTAAAAGTAAAAGCAGTGCGTAATGCTTTGAATAGGTAGTTCATGATTGATAGCTGCTTTTAGAGAACAATGATTTGATCATCTTTAGGGACATTTTCCTCTTCAGCTACACAAATTATATCTTAACACATTCGCTTGCATCATGATACAGTGATATCATCAATCACATCATTGAACACCCTACTGTAGTAGTATTGTGTCGTAAATTATTTTGTGAATCCCACCCCTATTTACATCAGGATGGAGTGAAACAAGCATTGTGTGTATGAACAGGTACATTGAGACAGTTTCCTTATCTAATCTTGCAGTTGCTGAGACAATCCCTTTGCTCAAACAGTTGAACCATGGCACTGTGACATAGGTAGTGTACTCTGCTGTTGCACCATCATGATTTCACAATTTCAAAATGTGATGTAAAATGTTTATTTTTATGCATTTCTATCATGCATAATACAAAATATGTTTTTACTATTCTTCTTTGAAGGTGACTTTCATCATCTTCATCCCCAGGTGTACCAGGGAAACCCCTGAATGCCTGTAACCATAGTGACACCTGGTACAAATCAGTGTGGTGACTTTGGTAGCTCGACAGTCCCAATTTACTATTCATGCAGCAAAGAGTGTAAATTACTTTATAAGTCATATTGTTACCAAACTATCAATATGACTTTGATGCTTTTATTACCAGGATTAGTTTGATAGCAGTGTGGAATTGAGAGGGGAGTCGATTTTTGTGATTTAAAAGTTGTGGCATCAGTGTTCTATTGTATTTCACTATACCGTTCCCACAAGCAAGCTGTGTTTAAGCACAATGCAAAACAGTTTTTTTCTTATGTTACACACAGATGTGTTTGTATGACAGGGCAGACTTAGACTGATTTTAAAATTAAACAGAAATTCCAGTTTTTCCCCTCCCTTTTCCCATTCCTGTTTTATCTCTGGAATCTGTTCGGGTTAGCCACAAATCATTTGCTATCAATGAAACATCTGTGACTTGTGCAGACACCACCTATGACCAATCTACATTTATTTGCATCTTTCCATTGACTTTTAATGCCACCTCTTAATTTCACTTTGCATTGTTTAACTTAACTGCAGGGCAGCATAAAATCGTGAACTTGGGCTTTTTTTTTGGTTGTTTTTTTATCAGTGTGAGCAGAGAACAAATGGGAGGCAGCAAATAGAAAATCTGGAGTAGATAAAAAGTGATCATTGAAACCAGCAGCTCAACTCTGCTTAAATACTCACTCTGCTCACATGCTCACACAGTGCATTCAAGTCAAGAATTTTGGGTAGATTGTGGTATTTGTTTTGGTCTTAGATCAACATATGACTGATGTTATTATATAAACTTAGTCCTGTAGAATTTTTGTCAAGATGCACTGAGGATATTCTGGCAGCTCTGAAGAGAGTAGCCTTGTACATTGAACAGCATGGCCAACAGCGTCTAGCTCTATATACTGCACAACACATGTAGATAGAGCACGAATGAACAAGTTTAATTTCAGATGTGGTTTTGGCTAGCCGAAAATTTCAGGTATTACTTTAAGCTGACTTCAGCTGTAGGTAATAAATTCATGAATCCATAAATCTGTATAAATCCACCCAGTGATGACTAAACACTAAAACATGGTGCTAGATTCAAAAACAGCATGCAAAGAATATATTCACACAATTAATATTTTCTTATTTCAGATAAAGGTAGTCAGGAAGAACACCAAGAATAGTGTGCATAAGTAATGTGTCAAATCACTTTTATTGAGAAAACCCTCATACAGTGTAACAACAGTTTGTTTGTGACATATCTGTATTGGGGATATCATCACGGATATTGCAGTGCTGCACGGTATGGTGCACTTCTGTCCAGTTACAGGGGATGGGGCACTGTAATTGTTTTATTTTCCTTTGTTTGTAAGATTTTTTAAAATCATGTCATCCAGTTGTCTGGTTAATGCATCATAAATGGTTGCCAT